AGTCTACTTACCTTATGAAAGCTTATTCGTCGATTCAGCAACTTCACACCAGCAAATTCTCAACACCACTATCACCAAATAACTTTGCATGATATACCATCAAGGTTCAATGCAGCTTAAAACAAGCTTACCTCTTTCTAGCTGTTCGCAGAAAAAAATACATGATACAACATTTGTATTTCAGTGGATGTATACTGTGGTGTTTTTATAGCAAAACAAAAAATGTAGAGGGTTTAATTTGGCCATCGAACAATTAAAGGGGTCCTATTATGCCTTTTCACTTTTTCAACTTTAGTTAGTCTGTAATGTTGCTCTTTGAGCATAAGAAAGATCTGCAAAGTTACAAAGCTCAAAGTCCAATTCAAAATATTTTATTAGATATTTTATTTAACAGAAATCACTTTTCAAAAACTACAACGAACGACTTGTTTGGACTACAACGCATATTTTCCGGGATTTGTGATATCACAAATATCGACGTACTCGTCTCATGCACCATTCCAGCTGTTTCCAGTTCGCACTCACCACATTCACTGCTCCAGTTTTAAAGGAACACACTCCAGACAGTTTCAAAGTTGTCCCTCGTCTGCGCTTCGATTAGTTTTCTCCTATTTTCCACGCATGTTCCCGTCTTAAGCACCGCAGTCACGGATTTCGTCGCACAGAACCATTCACGTTTGAACTCAAGCGACTTGCATGCTCTTATTCACGTCCTCCACATTCATAACCCAGCAACGTTGGGTTACTTATTACTGATATCAACCCAAATTGGGTCAAATCAAGCCAGCTTCCTAACCCAACGGACTCAACCGAGCGTTTGGATTGAAACAATTACCAGCATGTTCTATATGTGTAGGCTATAAAAAAGTACACAGTGTATGTTTTTGCTAAATCGCTTGCAAATATAAGATTGTTGTTAGGTCATGCATACCACGTAATATTAGAATAGGTACCCCTTAGTTTCAAAATACTTACAGTAGAAATAATTTGTAATTTTACAGATTATTACTCCTTTATTCCCCAAACTTCACATATTTTTCCATTATACCTACTCGGAGGTACTGAATAGGTACACTGTAATTACAAAAAAGTTACGCTGTAAATTCTGTTTACTTACGCAGTACATTGCGGGTTGTAATCTAAAGCGTTACCAACTAATCCTTTAAGTCTTTTGAAGACACAAAATAACTTTGTGTGAGGAAAAGAAAATCTCACCCTCCGCTACAGCTCTCAAATCTTATTTGCACTTGCATTTAATTAAATACATTCAAGAATCCCACGTCACGTCACGTCATGTCACAAGTTAGCCTATGCATTACAATGATGTTTAGTGTTAATCATGACACGTCAGCACAAGTGTGAGTCAAAGGATTATTTTAGGGTGTGTATACAGCAAATAAGTGATAGTAAGCTAAACTAAACGAAAATATCATTAGCCTTGGCCTTGACATTGCAGTCTGTCAGAATAAAACAGAAAATACCATAATAACAATACAAACAAAAATAACCAAAATCATTACATTTTAAATCATTGGTTATTATTAACATAATAACATCATGGGGTCAAGCGATTAGTCAACAGAAGAGACAGACGGCTGCAAGTGAGTGTCCTGCATAATACTTGTTTATAGATCTGCTGTTGGAATTATTACTTGCTGCTAGGAAGGAATATTTCGTTTTCTGCCTATTTCTACGTTATATTTTTGAATAACAATAATAATGTTTTTTTTTTTTTTGTTTGTTTTTTACAATAGCATGCAGTCACTTTTTCTTCATGTGTCCGTCACACTCATGTATTGAGGTATAATGTGCTTTGACAGGCGATGCTTTTCCAGTCAGTCTGTCTGCAATGCACACACACACACACACACACACACACGCACACACACACACACACATATCCCACATGATAATGATCACCATTCTCTGCTTCCATGCAATTTGCAACTATTAACCTTGTGACAGAGAAGTGTCTGTTTATGAAATGTGGCATAATGAAAAACCTATGCAAACAATCATTCCTATTGTTGCTTCCAAGACTGCCAGACCTTCCAGGAGTCCCTAACATAGGAT